GAAATTTTATACAATAACTCTAAGGACTAGTGGTACAAGTTATGAGCCACTAAGACTAAGATTTACAAAGTTGATGTAAAATATATACAATATCTATTTAAAATATACATAAATAGATTTCATATCTAAACCAAGAACAAGTGGTTGTGATATTTGGAAAAACAAGTACATCCTCAATGTCAACTCTGGCCATACATAGTAGTATCAGCTTTAAGATCTGGACGCAAGGTGCATAAGTATAGTATGAGTACAACCGATCTCATGTACTCAATAAGTCATAAACCTAACCTCGAGTTGAAAGTAGTGACGAGCTCGGAAGAAAGCCAATGTTCAATACTAGTGATCAACAACAAAATAGGATATAATGGTGATAGTAACAACAAATAACTCAAAAGAGATCATGTTCAACTCGTTCACAAGTCAATAACACCATATTTCCAGCTAGCATGATGAAAATACATCTCTATGCCTGCATGTCAAATATGCCGCTCACCAAAGCACGTGTATACCATTGTACCTGCGCTCACTATAATATCAAACTCTGGAAGGGCAGATCCTGGCCCAAGCTCTAATTAATAATCAATATGACCTGTTGCGCTGTGCAACCCGATCCAAATATCAATCCTTTTATGCGTGAAATCCGATCCAACATAACTCACAACATGGATCTATGGCCCACATCAGTCATCAATCTGCTCAAGTCTCCATATGCCAATATCTTTCAGAAATATAATCAAATTATATATCACAATGTGCCACATATTCAGCTCAAACTCGTATCATATACAAGGACACCAATAACATGTGATACAGAATATAACAAAATGCACAAAGACAGAGATATAACGTGCGAATATAACTATTATGACTAAACGATATTACTACGGCTAAGGCAAATAGCTCAACATGGCAAAATAATCCTATCATGTCTCAAACAATAAAGCAGATTGCCTAGACATGATTTCTAGCATGAATAAAATTCACGTAGTCATACAAACGGAGAAAACGTGATGTCAAAGAAGCATGATATCAAACAAGGAATATAATAGCCTAAGAACTACTCGGATTATGAATATCCCAGTGAACGCACACACACCAATCACCTAGAACGTTCGTCACCCCCAATACATCTCAAATATCATATTTGTCAGGGATAAATAACCTTAATTCCAATATTACATATGTTACTTGCCTCGGACAAGTAAAATCAATACAGAGCAAGACCAAACAATACTCTAGAAATAGCATCCCATGCGAGTCGACCTCTGGAAGACTCAAAACTAGCCAAAACAACTCAAAGTCATCAAATAAAGCCATAAGAAACAAACCCAGACGATAAATGTCGAATCTTTTATGAAATACCCAAAGTCAATCAAAAGTTCAACCCGGTATTGCACACGCGAAATCCGACAAAACTCATAAATTCTGATAATCAATTCAAATAAGAGTCCAATTATACTAATTTCATCCAATTCCAAGTCCCAATTGATGTTCAAATGTTACGACCCAATATCCCATTATAGGTCGTGTGACGCCCAACGTCGCCGCTAGGAAAACCAACGGTGAATTATCAATTCAATTATTCATTTTATTATTTTTGAAATTATGAATCTTGTTAGGTGGAGACATAAATGTGTTAAAGTCGTAAATAAATACAATTTAAATAATATACAAGTAAAAGTGTATCGAGGTTAAGCAAACTATAAACAAATTCTAGAAACATCCCAAACCCCGGTGTCACCAATGCATGATCATTTACTAAGGAGTACAATTATAATACCACATCTAACTGAAATATAAATAATACAGGATAAAGTAAATAGTATGACGGAGACTTTGTGGGCTGCGATTCGTAGCCTGGAATGCAGCTCACCATAAAGTCTCCTTAGCAGCTGCGCCTATGCGCCAAGATGACCACCAGATAAACCTGTCAGATCCTGCACATTTAGTGCAGAAGTGCAATATGAGTGCATATCTAGCCTAACCTCGGAGAAGTAGTGATGAGGGGTCGACATCAATACTTACTAGAGGTCCAATAAAGTAGTATGATGAATTATAAACAGATATGAAGCACAACAACAATGATGAATTTAAATCCATGTGTAACTCATGTATTTGACTCACAATATGTATAATAGCCTGTTTGACCTAGCTTTTTTAGGCCAAAAGTGCTATTTTTGGCCAAAGACACTTTTGGCAAAAAATTGAGGTGTTTGGCCTAACTTTTGAAAGGAAAAAAAAGTGCTTTTGAGGAGAAGCAGAAAGTAGCTTCTCTCCAAAAATACTTTTCTGAGAAGCACTTTTGAGAAAAATACACTTAGAAACAGTTTTCAAAAGCTTGGCCAAACACTAAATACTGCTCAAAAGTGCTTTTCTAATTAATTAGACAAACACAATGTCACGACCCAAACTGAAGGGCCATGACTAGCACCCGACCTCACTTGCCAAGCACCAACGTACATTTCATCTAACCTTCATTATTATCTTTTAAGGCTAAAGAGATCAATATAAATGGTAGACCTAGATCATGGACAACCAGCAATAAAATATGACGGCATGAACATACATAGCAGGGGATGACCAGACAATCAAGAAACTAC